ATGTGTATGTGTATGTGTATGTGTGTGTGTGTGTGTGTGTGTGTGTGTGATATTTGTGCTGATAAATAAATAAATAAAGGGAGACTAGTATAGATCTATTTCAAGCTATTTAGCTCTCATCAGCTAGCCATACCCTTACTGGGATTCGAACCTGTGCTACATTACATCTTAGGCAGACATCTTAGCCATTAAGCCATTAAGCAGTTAGCTTCCTCCCATAATTGGGGCATACCAACCCCTGGTATGCCCCAATTATTTATTTATATATATATATATATGGAAAGTTTAAAAAATGAGTAAAAAAATAATACAAACCAAAATAGAATCAAAAGGAAAAAAGAAAAATGAAGAAATAAAATAGAAAGCTAAAGTGCATAAAAAAGGTAGAGGAAAAAAAAGGGGGGGGGAAGATATAAAGACGTAACTTCTTATTTTCTTTACAACAGTTATAAGTACAATTCTAGATTAACCTCTTTCTCTAAGGTTACATCATGACTTTCTTCTTTCTATAAGTTATTCTATCTAATTGTCCAAACCATAGATCACGTTCTTTGTTGTTGTTGTTGTTTTACATAAGAGGTCTATAAAGGATTTCCCAGTCAGCAATAAACATGCTGTCTTTTCTCTAATTAAACAGAACAATGGAGCTATCTCAGCAGCTTCATCCATTCATACTCTACATTTCCTTCTTTAGTTGCATAAAAATGTGTGCCAATGCACATGGATGTCCTTGTGGACTAGAATACAGGCTTGCTATCTTAGCTTGAGACCATGCCTGTATTAAAACTGGACTTCGATTCTGCTTGCAGCGTATGGCCAAAATGTATTTAAAAAATCACTACTGGCTTAAACATGATCAGGGAATGCTACACGGCATACGGATATAGTAAGGCGGATAACTTTGCCTTTCACTAAAATGTGATATGGAAAATTATCTCATCCTCTTCCAAAATGAAAGAATAATTCCATTCTTTCAGTTTGGAAGAGGCAATTATCACTTTCACATTGGCCAGTCTGTCCAATTTCCAGAAATATATAATTTAATTAATTAGCTCAAGGTAGAAAAGGCACCCTCCCTCAGGGTCAGACTGGGGAGTGAAGTTTTGGTTTTTCTTTGTAGGTATATGGCTGGATCAATTCAGATTCCTAAAATCTTGGGATTTCCTATCATCATTCCCATCTTTACTTTCAGTTTTTGACAAAAACTGAGATTTTAGAATGTTTACAACATATGACCATAATGGACAGGCCCCATTATAGTTATATGTCAAGGACTACCTGTAACATATTCAATTTGTTTCAACTAGAAACAAAGGGATCAGCTTTCTCCTGAATATCATGCAACTTTTTTTTTTGTTAAATTCAATGGGATTTTAATATAATTTTAACATGCACTTAAAACTGAAATATGTTTATGCAGAACTACATTCATCCGCCTTTAAGAAGGTTGTTTTCAGCAAAATGTATATATATACATATTTAGTATTTCATCATTAACACAGTTTTAATTTCTAGACTTTTAATTAAAGGAATATCTTGTAAACATGCTGGAATGATCGCTAACTTCTGCTTTTTAGTTACAATTTTCCCACTNAAAATACAAGTAGAAGTGATAGAGCATTCGCTAAGGTAAAGGTTCCCCTCGCACATACATGTTAGTCGTTCCCGACTCTAGGGAGCAGTGCTCATCTCTGTTTCAAAGCCGAACAGCCAGTGCTGCCCAAAGACGTCTCCGTGGTCATGTGGCCAGCATGACTAAATGTCAAATGCACATGGAACACTGTTACCTTCCCACCAAAGATGGTTCCTACATTTTCTACTTGTATTTTTCAACTGCTAGGTTGGCAGAAGCTGGGACAAGTAATGGGAGCTCACTCTGTTACATGACACTAGGGATTTGAACTGCCGAACTGCTGACCTTTCGGATTGGCAAGCTCAGCATCTTAGCCACCAAGCCACTGCGTCCTTCGCTACTACCGACCTAAAATAATGTCTCTGATCTAAAGCAATGTTCAATTATCAGGCAAACGCTAATCAGCTTCTTAGTGTGTGAAACATTACTATAAAACTGATTCTTAATAAAACATCTGTATTCAGCATGTTCAAGCATTTCACTTGACAAAGAAGTGCTGCTAGTCCAGTGGTGGGTTCCGGATCCCGTTGCATCTGGTATGGTGCAATGGGGCCCGGCGTCCACCACATGAACGCACGCAGCACGCGCATGCGTACTTACCACCTGCGACGCTCCATGTCGCCTCTGTGATACTCCAGCTGCTTGGCAGAGTGTCGCACAGGCGCCATATGCTCAGTGCACATGCGTGGAAGTCCCGAAGAGCTCAAATACAGGTAAGGAGTGCAGGCTGGCGGGCGGGCCCTCCTGAGCACCATACCGGAACAGTACCTGGTTCTCCTGGCAGCACCGGTACGCCCGTACCGTGGCATACCAGTCATAACCCACCACTGTGCTAGCCTCATGGTAATGTCTATTTGAGGCCTATGGAAACTTTTTTTGGCACCCAAATCACACATTTTTACCTTGGGCACACATTTACCACAGAGACTAGATAGCTGTTTGGATAGCTAGACTGAGCAGGAAACAACGGCCTAAAAAGCCTTGTGTCTATAATTCCACATAAATTTGATTTAAAGTAAAGTAATTTAATATATACCCAGTTCAATAATTAATTGTATACATTAAAATTAGGTAATGATTAAGTAATATATATCATATATTTACCATGTATTCACACACACACACACACACACACACA